TGCTAACATTGGAGTTCAGATAAAACCAGTTACTTGCCTCGTCCCTGGGACCACATTCACCTTTAATGGCCTCGAACATCCTCTGAAACCACGGGACTCGAAAAAACTCGGGGTTCCTTGCATAGCCCAGCAGATGCTCTGCTCAGTAGGACCCTAAAATCAACAGGGCCCCCCAACGTGCTCCAGTTAGCATTCTTGGGGTGAGTGCTTCAAGAGAGAGAAAATCCGTTCATGGTCGAACGTGGCCCCCACCGCACCCACAAACACGGACATGCACATTCGGACCCGTTAGGTTTCAGCACCTGCTTCACTGTTAGCAACGGTCGCCGTGATGACTAAATTTATAACAGGCTCTTTGCGGAACAGTCGATGCGAATTAACAGACGGATGGTGACCCCAGGGGGGGGGGGAAAGGGTGAGGATGCAGTGGTGTGAACAGTCGTAGCCTGAAATTGTTACTTGACAATTCCCAGTGTATCTGGCAAAAATAAGTTTTAACCTTGCTTCAGGCTGCTCTGTGGCGCACGAAGCGGATCGCAAACGTATCTTGAATACCCCTTCGTAAAATCGGGTAAGCCTAGAGGTGATGCATCAAACCGATACTTTTAAACCTCCCTGTGCTGTGGACAGCTGCATTTTCATACTCCCGCTAAAGAGGAAAATGAGCTGTAGGCTAACGTTATCCCCAAATAGAATATCTACCTTGCAAGATGATCATACACAAAGCCGATGATGGAAATGGATGTGGGTGTGTACTCAGTGCTCCTAGGGAAACAGCGGGTTGTTTTCATTTGTGAAATGATTCCCTTGGCCACCAGGTTCGAGACCAGCACAGTCCACACGGGCTCACCCACTGGTGCCTGAAATCACATTCCAAAAGAAGCAAATCTGATATCCATCCACTCAGGTCCTTGCATTTATCTCTCCCCATTTCACTCACTCTCTTCCTCTCTGAACAGCTGTCTCTGTGTTCCTGGGACCACAGGGCGCAGGACTGAGCGGAGGGTATCAATTCTGGAGGCGGAGACCCGGTGAGAGGGGCACCCAGAGAAGGTGGGCTGCCCAGTCCGAGTACGTGGCCTGCAACCGTGGAGGCTGCGCTGCGTGGTTTCTTCGCAGTCCTGTTCTGCAAGTTCATGGTCCTCTGGGACCAGGTGCAAGTGTTTGCATCGCCAATGAAGGCCGTCAGAGGACACCGGACCGCAGGTGAGTTCCCTCCCTCACTCCGGGGGCCCCTGTGACTGGTGACCAGTGATCGGCTTAAGAGTCATACATGCCGTACATTAATTTTTTTTTCCTACATTGATTTTAGAGAGAGAGGAAGGGAGAGAGAGAGATAGAAACATGGATGAGAGAGAACATGGACTGGCCGCCTCCTGCATGCCCCCCACTGGGGATCGGGCCCACAACCTGGGCATGTGCCCTGACCGGGAATCGAACCGGCGACTTGAAACTGCATGGGTGGACGCTCAGCCACTGAGCCACACCAGCCGGGCATAACGCCCATACATTAGAGTGCGGGTCCTTCCGATGCTCAGCCACTGAGCCACGCCAGCCGGGCATAAAGCCCATTCATTAGAGTGCGGGTCCTTCCACTTGAGAGTGAGTTCTCAGTTTTCGAAAACCCAGAGGGGCTGTCTCAGAAAGCATGCGTCTGGGAGTGTCTCCGGTCGATGCGCTGGAAGAAACAAAACAAAAAACAAAAACAGCATGTCAGTGTGATTAAGAAATAGATTGGTACGTGCACTCCACATCCACGCACAACCTACAAATAGTCCTTTGGACAAAACCAGGTCATACATACTATTGAAATCAAAGTTGCTGCAGCGGTTTTAGGGTACGTTTTCTACACCAATCATCTCTCGAACCAGTGCCTGGGTCTCTTACCGTAGCATCCCCTGGGGAGTGGTTTCCAAGCTGAGATCCCAGCATCCTACCCCAGACACCTCGGCCCAGGATCTCGGGGGGCTGGGGGCCTTGGAGTATGCCTTCAGCAGAATGAAAAACCACATTTCGACTGGTCCGCTGACTTTACCAAATTGTTTTCTTCAAGTCACTTTCAACTGTAATGAAAAGAAACCAGATGGGAAGGGCCAGCGTAGTGAGAGAGGACCGCCGGGGTGATTCCGACAGAGGAGCGCAGAGAACCGGGGGCGCTATCTCCACGTGTACACCGTAAGGTGGCCCTCCCGCTCAAGCCCGGGCTGTCTGTGCAATGCACGGGACGTGTGTGTGTGTGTGTGGTTGATCATAACGTATTGATTCATGGAAATGACTATGCTATGAAACCCACATACGTAGCGCACACATCGCTTTTCCAAAAAGCACAGGGATCCCTCTGCACCTGGAAAAGCTGCTTGGAAAGCTCGGCGTGCTGGTCCGTAGGATTTCACTCTCCCGAATGTCAATGTCATGACACGACATGCAGCGCTATAAATCAGAGAGACTGAGAAAATGTGGGCGTGCGTGATTTCCTTCGCTCACCCAGGGCAGGTATTGGCCGAACTGGAAAACTCAAACAAACACCCTGGGAGGCTCCGCGATGGCCTTGGGGAATGTTTTTATTCCCCTTCCAATGACAGCGATGCCGCCGTCCTAGTCCGTCCCTGCGTTTTGTCCATCTCCACACAGGGCCCTCCGGCTCACGCACCTTCCCGCTTGGGCCACCAGGGTCAGCTTCTTCGCTCTTAGTATTCAGTATGTTGAATGTACTTTTGAAAAAAAATATTTTCATTGATTTGAGAGAGAGAGAGGAAGGGAGAGGGAGAGATAGAAACATCCATGAGAGAGAAACATTGATCGCCTGCCTCCCGCACGCCCCCTAGTGGGGATCGAGCCCCCAACCTGGGCATGTGCCCTGACCCAGAATTGAACAGGCGACCTCTTGGTGCAGGGTTTACGCTCAGCCACTGAGCCTCACAGGCCGGGGTTGCTTTGAGGTACTTTTGAAAGATTTCCATCTGCACGTCTGAGCATCTTTCTAAAGAAACGATTGCACTCAGGTGAGCTCATGCCTCAATGTCTCACGTTTCCGGTTTCAGTGGAGTCTGGTCCCGCTGACAGCCGTGGATAAGGCCGGCCACATCATTTGAACCTGTGTCCAAACGGAAATCGTGGTGATGACCGACGCGCCATGAACCAAGCGCAGCTCCAAGATGCGGCTCCAAGAACCGTGAGGATGAAACAGCCCCGATTGTTAACAACCAGGGAGGAGCTCGGGGAGCGGTTACTTCTCCGCCTTGCTGCCTTGGCCGCGGAAGGCGCGCACAGCGGCCCACGTGCTTGGCAAAGACGCTCGGGCGCAGCAGGATAACCGCAGGGGGTGTCTCTGTACGTTCACAGGAGGCCTCCGGTCACACAGGGCACTGTGCAGACAGCGGGGAACGGGCTGGAGGCTGCAGAAAAGTCACTGTGCAAGGCATGGAGCGCTGGTGTGTCCCTGAGCAGGCGAGGGTACGCGCCCCTGGCTGTGCCCAGCTGTGTGCCCACAGAGGTACCGGGCTGGACTGTGGTGCCACCCTCTGGAGGAGAATGTACAGACGTCAGGCAGGCATGAGAGGGGACACGAGTCCTGCTGGGTCCGCTGAGCTATGGAAACACCCCCCGCCTGACGCACAGCCTTGGTGGTCCCATATCTGCCGCCTCCGGGGTCTCCCGCCTGACCCCCCAAGGGCCACAGCGAGGCCACACTGCCCATGGAGCCCAGGGAAGTTTAAACTGTTACAGCTGCCGTGTTGCAAATACCTCGGTGGCCGTGCCTCTGGCAGGTCCCTGTCTGGGGAGGAGGACATGCCGGGTGAGCAAGCTGCCGGGAAGGTTACAGCAGGGGGTCGGCGGGCAAGTTCACCGTTGAGAAGGCGGAAGCAAGAGGCTTTGGGCCGCCCTGGCCGGGTGCCTAGTGGTTAGCGCATTGGCCTCACAGGGAAGGGTTGCAGGTTCCATTCCTGGACAAGGGCACCTACCTGGGTTGCAGGGGTCATCCCTGACCTGGTGGGGATGCATTTGGGAGGCAACCAATCGCTGAGAGAGAGAGACCTCCATGTTTCTCTCCGTCCCCCCCCACCCCAAACATCAATGGAAAAAAATATTCTCAGGTGAGGGTTAAAACAAGAGAGACTTAGGGCGGATACAGGGAGTTCGGGGCAGATTCAGTCCTGAGTGACTCACGCCAGCGAGAGGGGCCCTGAGGACGCGGGTGTGGCTGTGCTGACAGTGTCCAAGGCTGTGCTCCAGGAGGGTCTGGGTCACCAGAGGGAGGGCGGCAGGCAGGGGGAGCGAGGGCGGAAAGAAGGAAACCTAGAAAGAAGGAAGCGGGAGGGAGGGCTGGAGGCAGGGAGCACGAGATGGGGACGACAGGAAGGGAGGACGCGTCAAATGTCCACACCTGGCCTCCGTGTCCCTCCCTCTTCTCAGTTCTGTTCCGTGGCCCTGCCCACGGCTTGGGCCAAGGGCAGTTCAACACGCCCACGTGTGGGCGCAGCGGGCGCCCGGGATGGGGTGGTGGCGGGAAGCCCTTCGCTGTTCTGTCGCCCTCAGGGGTCCGAGACCCTTCTCTCCAGGCAGCACCTTCCACCCCAGGCCCGGGTTTGTTCACACCTGACGCTGATCTGGACGGCGGGGCCGGAAGGAGCGAATGCGGACGGTGGGGGAGCCCGTGTGGGGCACCGACCACCCGGGCACGAGCGCGCGGTGGAGACCGGGTCACCGTCGCCCCCCCCTTGGAGAGCCCGGGCGAACACCCGGAGACCTGCCCACAGCTCCCCGCCCGGCCCTCCTGTCACTCACTTTCCTTTCAGCCAATGGCGCGGCCGCCTGTCACCCTCACCCCGCCCCTCGAGGCCGCGCCGGGAGGGAGGCCGGCCCGGAGCGCCGGGGCCGGAGTTGAATGATTGAACTTTCCAGCTCAGTTGCAGCGGCCGCGAGGTCCCCGGCAGTGCGGCCCCGGCGCGGAGCTGGGAGGCTCGGCCAGCGCCCCGCACCCGCGCCCGCCACCCGCAGCCATGGTGCCCCGGGAGCCCGGCGCGGCCCTGACCCTCCGCCTCTGCCTGGCGGTGTTCGTGGTCGGCCTGGCGGCCCGCCCCGGCGCGGAGGCAGCGCGGCGGCCGGACGAGTCGCTGTCGGCCGGGAGCGTCCAGCGCGCCCGCTGCGCCTCCAGGTGCCTCAGCCTGCAGATCACGCGCATCTCCGCGTTCTTCCAGCACTTTCAGGTACGGGGACCGCCGCGCGCCCGCGCCGCGCGGAGCTGCGGGCCGCGCGGGGGGCGCCCTGGGGCGCGCGCCTCCGCCCGGCGTCCGAACTTCTCGCCCAGCGCGGCCGGCTGCTCCGCTGTCCCTCCGCAGTCCGGGTGCTCGAACCCGCCTTTCCAGCCTCCTCCCTGCTCCCGAGAGCACCAGGAAGGCGCAGCCTGCTCCCCAACTCCCTTCTCCTGGGCGGCAAACCGAGGGCGATGTCTTTCGGGAGGGAGCGCAGTTGTGCGGATTCCAAGGGTGGGTTCGTTTCTCCGGACGGAGGCGCGCGGGACTGGAGGCTGGTGGCGAGTCCCGGGAACCCCCGCGCGCTCCGGGGCCCTCGGCGCCGCGGGCACAGCGAGCAAGGTGGGGAGGCGCGCCCGGAGACCCGCGCACCGGGCCCAGCCCCGCAGGTGCCCGCGGGCCAATCCTTGAAGCCTCCACACTCGGCGGGCCCGGAGCTCGCGGCCCACCCTCCGAGCCCCAGGCGGGGAACTCCGCCAAGCCGTGTGCTCCAGAGTGTGTGTCGCTGGCTGTGCGGCCCCTCTTCACAGCCCCGAAGCTTCAAGCCTTCAAGTCTTGCCAGTGAAGAGCGTGGGGAGGAAGGGAAGAGATGGAGGGCATACGCGCCCCGAGGGGCCGTGTTTGGGTGCTCCCAGAGAGTCCTGGTGTATCAGCCCACGCCTCCCAGCGCGTGTGTGGGAGGTTCAGGGAAAAGCGCGCTTGGCGCTTGTGGAGGGGCTTCCCCGGGCGGGGACCCCCGCGGGACCCGACGTGGGACTAGAGTGGCGGGCGCCAGGACTAGACGGAGGCGCATCGCGCGGCTGCCTTCCCCAGGGCCCCGGGGCGCGCGCACTGAAATCTTTCTCGCCGACGCCCGTTTCTCTCGTCTGCCAATTCTCTCCCGGGCCTTCTGGCCTCCACCCTCAGCTGCTCACCTGTTGTATGGCCCTGGCTTCTCGCCGCAGGCACCACGGCCGAGGCCAGGAGGAGAGGGCGTGGGGCGGGAGGGCCTCCCGGGGCTTCCAAGAACAAGTCCTCCGCCCTTAAGAAACACGCGGCTGGAGCAGAGGGCCCCCCAAGGGGCCTGGGAATTAAGCAGCTAGAGGAGGCAATTGTAATGACCTGGAGTTTGGGACGAATCTCGGGGGTGGGGGTGGGGTGGATGATCACCCTAGGATGTTAAAACATTCAAGCAGCTCGCGAAGTTAGCTTCCCCGAGCGATTCTGTTTGTTCTCAAGCAGAGTCTCGTGGGCTCACTGACCGGCGGCTCTGCGCTCCTCCTGGGTCTTGGGGCCGGGAAAGAGGTCTCCTCTCCCTGTCCTCTCCCGCGGTGACATTCCGCGGGCATCCTGGAGGGGGGCCCTGCCCGCCACCTGGTTCCAAGGCCACCCGGCTACCCTGCCCGTCCCCCTGGGGAGAAGAAGCTGCCCGGTGCTTTCAACAACAGCAAACGCAACAAAATTGCGCGGCCCATTCCCGGGGAGAAAAGTATCTTTTCCTTTCTTTCTGTGTCTTTTTCTTGAGCTGCCAGTCGCTGTAATTTATTTGTGTTACAGTATCAGCGGCTCAAGCTGCCGGCTTAGATCAAGCCAATTCCCCGGGCAGGGCTGTTCTTGTGGTCTGCGGGCAAGACCGCCCTTCGGAAGGAAAACTGCTCGCAGAACACACCTCGCCGGAGAATCCTGATTACGTGTTAATGAGCGGGGGTGAAGTCAGCTGCAAATTACCCGGTTAGGAATTAATAACTGCCGGTTTCGCAAGCCATTGCCAGGCCCCTCCGGGAGGGTTACCCCTCACCTGCAGCAGCCTCCGGTTCGTCCAGATTGCAGGGATTGAGGCTCCCCGAGATCCGACGACAGCGGCAGCCTCTCCTTATAAACTGTCCGCCCCCTCGGAATAGAACTGGGGGGAACTGCAGGGACCAGGCTGCGCCGACTCATTCCCCTGCACCTGGCCTTGATTACTGGGCTAGGGATGCCTTTGAAGGTCCCCCTCTACCAGGCCGCCCACCTCACCCACATGCCGAGGCGGCCCTGCAGAGGCTGTTTCTGGAGCTGACCTCTGACCTTGCCCATCTCCCTGGTTCAGGGCTCTCTGCAAGGATGGGGGCAGGAGGCCCACCCAGGGCGGCCTCAGGTTGCAGGCTGCCAGGCTGTGGCCGCTGAGAACCAGCCTCGTGCTCGTGGTGTGCGCAGACTCAGCCCAGGGGCCGGGACCTGGAGGAGCTGGCTGCTCAGGAGGCTGGAGGCTAATTGTCCCCAGTCCCCGCTGGTGGCTGGTGCCATTTGCAGGCCAGCCTGGTGCCCTGCTGCAGCCAGAGGGCCGGGGGGGGGGGGAGGGCACATGCTGCTGTCAGGTATGCAGGCTGGGCCGGCTTCAGCTGCCAACCAGGTGGCTGTCATCCAGGCCTCTCAGCACAAGGGATTCGCTACTGATGCGTGCTCATGGGAACGGTGACAGGGGCCCCTGAGTTACTGGGCCCTGCCCCTGGACCTGGAGGAGCTTAGCATTTTACACCGAAAGGGTGACCCCTGGACCTGCATCGTGTCACCACGGAACGCTGCCCCTCCGTGTGACGAGACACGTACAAGTGAGCACCTCACCCGTACCAGGGGCCAGCTCTGTGAGGCTGAGTGCAGGCGTCTGGCAGGGGGCCAAGCCAAGTTCTCACGTGTCACGTCCGCGTGGCTACAATCCTGCCAGCGGAGGTGGTGGGAAGGGCATCCCTGCGCCCGGGAAGGAGGGTGAGGTCGGTGCGCGGATACAGAGCACGGACGTGGCTTTGGAGCCGGGCGGGTCTGCTCTGCACTGCGCTCTGCCGCCTTGCGGGGGGCGGCCTGGGGGATCGGACCTCCCGGCCTCTCCGTGTCCAGTGCGAGACGGGCAGCTGCCCGGGGATGCTGAGCGTGTCGGGATGTGAGCGTGTGGTCACACGGGCGCGGGTCACGGGGCGGTTCCTGGGGGCCAGCCACTGGGGCAGGGAGAGCCGAGACGGTGGCTGGTCATGCAGCCCACAGACTGCGGGGCTGGGTTCTGTGAGGGCAGCCACTGGTTTGGGGGTGTGTTTGCATCTTTAGGACTTTATTGGTTAGTCAGTGAATTGACTGACCCTCTGATTTGGGGGACCCAGAGTGAAATGAAGAATGTTGGTTTATTACTCAAAGAGCAGAAAAAAGGTGTTCAAGGAACTAAAATGTGACACATTTTTCTCTCCCTGGGGGCCCTCTCCCGGGGGCCCTCTCTCCTCCTCCCGGGGCCCCTCTCTCCTCCCCCCGGGGCCCCTCTCTCCTTTCCCCGGGGCCCTCTCCCCTCCTCCCGGTGCTCAGTGGCAATGTGAGTGTTCTCAGTCGGGAGCGTGGACTTGCCGGCGCGGCGTGATTTCGCCCCCCACCTGTTCAGGGCGTGTTCCATGCACGGGTCCCACCATCACGGCCGTCTGTGTGTCCTGGCCCTTCCTGCAGGTTGTCTGCATGGCTGGGGGACAAGCGGAAGCCAGACGCAGGAGGTGGGACAGAGGAAGAGAGGACCCCGAAGTGCCCAGTGTGGGGTGGGACAGGCCTTCCTAGGTCCCCGGGGTCTGGCGAGCGCGTTTCCAGCCCGGACATGGCTCTTGCCTGGTGCCCTAAGCTGCCAGCTGTGGGCCCATGGCCTGGCACCTTCTGCCAGGCAGAGCCTCGGGAAGTCCTGCCAGGGGTCTGCCCCCCACTGCTTAGCCTGAAGCATGCAGGCCACCCCAGGTGTATCGCGGCCCCTCACTGGGTGCAGCTGGGCGTGGACACGAGGGACCAGTGACAGGCTTCTTCCTGTGGTCTCGTGGGTGCCGGCTGGCCGCCCATCGAACACAGCGTGGTGCCACCACATGGGACGAGGGCAGCGGCCCCTGAGTGCTGGGACACCTCAGGGCACGCATTCTCCACACGGCCTCCTGGCCCCTGCGCCCAGCGCCCTGCAGGGGCCGAATGTGGCGGTGACGGGCGAGGAGGGGGAGTTGGATGAGGACTGGGGTGCCAGGGAGCAGGGGGCCAAGAACTGGGAGGTGAGGGGACAGTGGGCAGCAGAGTCTGTGTGATCTGAAGCTCCAAGGCCCCAGAAGGTGCACCAGCACCCGCCAGACCACCTACTAACCCGGGCTCCAAGGGAGAACCATCGGAGTTCCATATGGCAGCCACGGGGCAGGAACCCAGGCGGGGTCCCCCTTCTGAGCCTGGTCTGCGTGCACAGCTCGTGGGAGGGTCGCCCCTTGGCATGGTGGCCGTCCGTGCCCACGATGTGGGTGTGAGCTTACAGTACCCGCCTGCTTGCGTGGGACTAACCTGCTCTACTCTATGTTCTTTTCTATTTTTATTTATTTTTTATTCTCACCCGAGGACATTTCTGCATTTATCTTCAGATAGAACAGGAGGGAGAGAGGCAGGAAGAGGGAGAGAGAAACATCGACGTGAGAGAGACACATCGACTGGCTGCCACCACACGACCCCAACTGGGGCCGGGACAAACTGCAGCGGAGGTCCGTGCCCTCAGCGGGAACCGAACCGGGGCCTCTCTGGTCCGCGGGCCATCGTGGCCAGGGCGCGCTGCGTTCTTGACGTCGCTGGGAGAGTACAGAGCAGGGGAGCGGGGAGATTGTGCCTGAAAACAGCTGTCTCTGTCAGCGGCTCCTTTCCCTGGAGAGACGCCCTGCCTTGTGCTCTTGGGACACTCCTGGGGGACACCACGCACGTGACAGCGACGAGCTGGCCTGGGCGCCTGCCATGGGGCCCCTCCACCTCGGACCAGCGCGCCTGCCACTGAGCCTTCCCCGGCCTCTGTTCCCGAAGGAGACTGGACGGCACAGGCTGGGGGACACGGGCCCGGAGGGACACCGCCCGGTCTGGGCCAGGATTCGCAGCGGCAGGGATCTTGCTGGCACAGAAGCAGAGCCTTGCTGGCCGCCTCGTCGGCCCCCTCGGGGGAACGAGACTATTAGGAGTGTGGA